AAAAATTCGAATCCATTGTTGACTTTACTTATATTATTTACTTCCAGACTCTTGATTTTGTTAATTAGATAAGATTCTTTTCATCCTGAACTGTTGATAAGAATCTTGTTTGATAATTGAGAAAAACAAAAAAGTCTGAAAAGAAATGAGACAAGATCGTCTACTAATAATAGTATAAAAGGTCACATCGGTGCATAAGAACAGACTCATCAATTTTCAAATTTTAAGATAACAATAAATGAATGTAAAAAACAGGCAAAAGAGACAAAAAAAATTATGGTATTTATAAAACAAGATATGTATTGATGAATTATTTTATTATCTGATCTGAGCTTAGTTAGTTAGTTAGTTAGTTTTTCATCTACTATTGTTATATAACATTCAATGTATACAAAAAAGATTGCAAGAGGTTTTTTCCAAGAGAATTCAATTTGAAAATAATGTTCACTAAAAACTGTCTCTTCATGTATTGATAGATCGTAGAAAACGATGATATAAATTGTATTATATATTTCAGTGTAGAATACGAACAGAATCACCTTCTGCTCGTAATTTGACGACTATTCTCCAAGGAAAAGGACAGATCTCACCATCGATATATAGCTGAACTAATCGATTAGTTCGATGATGTTGGAGTTGGATCTGTTGATCATTACAATCTACTATTAACGTCACTTCATCACCGGTTTCTAAGATTTTCTTGTCATCGCTCTTGTGAAGTTCACTAGCGACAACAGATCGAACTATATCCCACCATCCATAAAGAGATGTATCGAACATATCAGCTTTTCTTATCTTATCCGATGATGTACTGATACCAAAAAAAATTGAATTTTTAATATTTTCGATCCGAAACTTTATACGATGTATACCCGTTGAATATAGATTAATACCATAAATAATCGCAGGAAATAAAAATGTTCTCGAATAACATGTAACTAGAAGATTTTCTTCAGATGTTTTTGCTTTTCCGTCAATTTCATCGAATTTTTCATTAAACGCTAATACAGAATTCGATCTTTGAACAGCAGTAACTGAAGAGCGTCGTGAGGATTCGATAGAAATATTATTCGAGCGAAGATACTGTCGATCATAAACCTGAATTATAGAAATGCTCGATTTTGATTTATCATCTTCAACAATACAAAAAGACGACGAAGATTCAAATGACTTTCGCAATTCTTCCAATTGTTGACTCCATTTCTTAATATCAAGTTCAGTAAAATCAAACGATTCTCGGCATGATTGAAGATCATCAGTTATCTTACTAACAGATTTTTTTATCTCTTCCTTTCGTCTATCAACTAATTGTCGAAGATCATTTCGAGCTGTGTTTGCAACTGCTTGAATCCTAGCAATAGCTTCTTGTTCCCACGTATCAATGCGAATAAGAAGATGCTGATCTATATTAGGTTGATTTAAATCTCTTCGCAAGAGATCATGTTCTAAACCAACATGTTCCAATTGTTGAACAAGTTCTTGTCGATGTTCATCAAAATGTTTAATACAAAATGATTGTTGACAACCATCACATATTGCTACTCCAACACCTTTACTACATTTCGTACATGATCTTCTTGTCACCGTAGATGCCATTATTACACTATAATAAATTATATGTGATTCACGATACTTTTTAAGTTATTTTTAATTACTTACCTTTAACTAAAAACCATCCGTAAAAAATAAATGACGCTTATATAATAAATTAAATGTCATATTTCTATCTTTGCTTAATGACAGTTTACTAATATTTGCTAACGAATCACATTGGATATGTATTCATCAACTAATTAAAATGAATAGTAATACATGAAGTTTTTTTTCATAGGTGTCAGTAAATTATTATGACCGTAAAGATTCGTTTGCATAAGAATGAACTAACTGAAATCCTAAAGAAATATATTTCCTTTAGTGTTAAAAATAAATCAAAATCATGAGTTAGTTTTTGATTGACAAAAAAAGGAACTCTGTTCAATATCATAAGGACGTCTTAATAATAGTTAAATCGGTTTAAATGTATTATCGTAGAGGAAAGTTATTGCCATCTATATGATACAATTTTTTAATATATTTATTCTAACGAAAATAATAAAAACACATATTGATATCGTTAAATGTTTATGAAACAATAGCATGAAATATACATTAACTGATTATATTGATTACTATGCATTATTTCTCTCATATTCAAGATGGTTATAACATCATATATACAACAAAAAAAGGTAAAATTTCATTTTTTTAATTTATAAAATTAATCAATTGTAAAGATAGTGACTATTGCAAACTATATATTATACAATAAATTATATCTTAGTGAGTTTTATATTTTGAAAAATTTACATTTGAAATGTTAGTGCTTGCATTGTAAAGTTTTTAAAACTATAGCCAAATCATCGAGTTCTATACTACTGAGAATCTGATGATACAAAGTAACTTTTTTGAGTAAATATTTCTATTTAAAAATGTTTCATGATTGAAAATATTTGCTTTCGATGACCAAAAACATAATTTTGATAGTTAAATAAATGATTTTTATGTGTCAAATAGATATTAGCTGCATTAGAGTATTCTCGTATATGAGGCACTTCATTTCATTACATGACATTGAAAATTTTTGTTTGTCATTAATCAATCATCTTCAAACTTTTATTTATTGAGCAAACAAAAAGATGCAATTCTTTTTGTCTTTTTATATATGAAAACAAATAATAGAATGTTCAGTGCAATTATGAATTGATAAACACCAATTTATTTAAATATATTAATCTACATTATGCATTTGAATATCAGTGATAACTTATCTAATAATAAAGTATTCTATGTATTATGTATGTACTTCTATTGCTATACGTGGTTTAATGTCTGTTTAGGTTGCAAACACGGACGAATAAAAAAGTCTACTATTGGCTTCTTTTTCTTTTTCCAACGACGCTTTTGAAATAATCTTATCGTCAATATGTAGCCATTATCAATGTTACTTTGTGCCGTTAAAAAGAATTTCTATCTATATGCTTGACTCAAATAATGTTTTGATTTGATTCAAGTTAGGTTGAAATTTTGTTTTTTTTAGTTCAAAATAATAGCAGTGACCAGAACTATTCAATTACACACACACCTTTTTGCACAAAAATAAACAAATTATAACCAGCATCAAAAGCAAACAATTTTATAATCAGTGAAAATATCGTTGTGGTTGTATATAAACTATGTCTTTCTACAGAATTAACTCCCCTTTGTCCCCTTCGAGTATACGAAATCAAAAAACAATGATCATGAAGAAACAAAAAACAACATTTTTAACATACATATTTCTCGTTATACAAATAATCTTCAATTAAAAAACTGCTTTACTTTTTTTATTTACTAAAACAAATAGAGTTGCTTAGAAGAAGCCGTCATAAGTTATTGAAATGGGTTAGTTTTAAACTAAAAAATACTATCGATAATTATACTTGCGTAGGTATTTCCTAGACAAAATTCACAGCAAGCTGTATTCAATAAAACAAGTAGTATTTATTTACTCTTAAAAACGATATATAAAGATAGTCAAAAAAGAAGGGTTCACAATATTCTACCTTTTATTAGTGATAGAAATGTTATAAATAAAATTCATAATTCTATTGATTCAACATATTGACATGCAATATGTTATGATGGACATGGAAATATACGGTGAAGATGTGAGTGATGCTGATGAAAATATGATATGAATATAATAGACATACCCATTCGCATCCACACAAATCAAATGATTCTTCACTGAATAGAATCATGTAATCATTGTAGTTTGAAATTGTATATCGATCATCCTCAAATAAATGTTATTTCTACATGCCAAGAGATAACATAATAGAACTAGGGTAATTTCTCACAAATACTTTTATTATTTTATGGAGAAATGGCCATAACAAGTGATAAGATAAGACCATTTATATGAAATTACTTCTTTCTCCCTGGTTAGATTTCAGCATGTATATATATATATACATGCGTAGCAAAGCAGAGTTATATTGAAAAAGTCAAATTCATCTACGATATACCTGTTAAACCATAAATACTTGCAACTCATTGTAGAAACAATGCCTTCCCGTGCAGTTATTCTATCGGTTCTCATAGTTATGGTCGCATTATGTATTGATGTATCGCAATCAGCTAAGATTGGCCTTTATGCAGATCCAAACCACACGGGACCTATTCTCGCATGTAAGTGTATATATGTATTGATAGCTGTGTTCTTCTTATTCTTAACTTTCATGTATATCTAGTTCACACCATGCGTGATCGTTCATGTTACGACTTAGACAGCGCGGAAGACAATCGAGCTTCTGCAGTAAACACGTTCGGAAACTGTTTTATTTTATTTGAGCATCCAAAGTGCAAAGGACGTCAAATGAAAGTTAAACCTGGTGAAGGGTGTCATGCTAATCTCAAACAGTGTAATTTTGACGATATAACATCATCATACCGGTCATGTTAACCAAAACTTTATTTATTTATTTTCAAGAACTCACATGATTTTCCTAATTAAAATAACTTTATATCTTAAATATGCTATTTTTTTCTGCTTTGAACCGATGATTATATGATTTATTCCATTAATGTAAACCCAAGTTTAACATGATTTTTAATTATCTTTCTTTTATTTCTCTAAATAAAATACTTGATATTTTTCCTCATTATCAAAGATTGATTTACTGTTAAGTATGGGTGTGAGTGTATGATGGGTATGGATGTGAAAGTATGTGTTAGAAATAAGATACAGCGATTACTTTATATTCAAGTTCAATAAACAGTAGTATTATATACATTTAAACAGTTTTATTCGAAAACTTCAGAATTCTAAAAATTGAAGCGTACTAGTCACAATAATACTATATAACTATTTATATAATTACAAGCTAGAATTCTATAATTTTAGAACAGGACTGCGTCTCATAAATTTTCATTAGCTGATTTATCTAAATAAATCAATGGATATTTCAATTTAGTAAGATGTCGTGTATTTCGGCTCGAATGACTACAATGACTTATTACATTTTATCTAACAAGGTACCTTGAAAAACATATATCATATTTTCAATATTAATAATTATTCTACTTGTATTTAAAAAATTATTTCGATAAAGAAAAACGATAGTACTGACATCTTTCTAACGTTTATCAATTATCTTTATTGGTTCATTCGTATTAAAAGGCACGAAACAAAGACATTATGAGTTGATAGAATCAATAATCAAATTTGAAAGAAATCCGTTTGTTTTGTTGATATTGCTTTACTTGTTTTAAAAAAAAGAATTGACAATGTCTGTTAATCAATCGATGCAAATGTTAACAGTTGTTTGGAATGACAAACGTTTCATAGCATCAAAATCTGCACGTAATGCAGCTCGTCGAAGTCTTTTTCGAGCAACAACTAGTAAGTTAGAATTAAAAAAAATGATATATACTTTATTCATTGAATGTTTTCGTAGTTATGCTTAATTCTGAATTAAAAACACTTGAAAGTCAAAATAATGAAATTCATCATGAAACAAATCGATGTCGTACGGATTTACAAAAATATGATGATAAAATACAAATACTTGATAACATGGCTCATTTAGCTACTCAATCACTTGAAGTTTATTTTCAAGCAGTAAGAATAATTTATTAGAAAATAAAAATTCTCATCTGTTTTGTTTTTAAATAAAAAAAGCGTATGGAAAATTTAGGTACATTTGTTACTGAACAATGTCGAATTATATCAGATGGTATACAAGAAGAGGCAGATCATTGGAAAGAAATTCATGCTATGTTACAACAGTAAATTGAATATTAATATATTTTAAGTGTAATTTAATACTTTATTTTATAGAAAATTAGTTGTGCCAGGTGATTTACGTTCCTATGGTGGAGGTAATGGATTACCACGTGCTGTTAAACAAAGTCCGAATTTTAGTCGAATTGCCGAAGTAGAAGAAGAAGAAGAAGAAAATGAGGAAGTAGAAAAGATACATAATGTATCTACTTTATTGGTAAGATGTTAATCAATGTCAGATGTTTGTAGTAGAGCTTCTTTCCTATGATTAGATGTAGTTTTAGAAAAACTTAATAATCCTTCTTTTGACTTAATATTTGTCGAATATATTATTAAGAATCAGATGAGAGAAAGACACAAAAATTGATCAGTTGCTTTTGAGTTGTGTATGTGTACTGCATGAAGTCTCCAGTGAACTATGATTACTTTGTAAAGAGTTGAAATCAACAACGTATGGGTGTCAAAATACTACGTTGTTACTTTCGTGTTTAACATAATAACATGATCTGTTTGAGAAATATCAGAAAAACTACTTTCCGAATTTTGAAAGTTTTGCAAGAAATCACTCTTATCAGAGTCAATCTTTCTGCCAAGAACACATATTCTTATACAACATTTAATAGATAATAAAATTTGAATTTTTCATTTTTTAAGCAATCACGAACATTGACACCATTAATTACTCAATCATTAAAGAGTAAGTTAACTTAATAGCAATTTTCAATTGTTAATATTCATTTTTTGTTTGCAGAAGTTCGTTTATTGGCATCAAAATTATCTAAAGATACATCAGCAATTATTCCGCCTCAATTGGATATGTCAACAACTGTTCATGAAGAAACAGTAATTGAAGAACCAGCACAACCAACTTCAATTATACCTGAAACTCATGTTACATTACGTGATGTATCTGTTATTGAAAAAGAAACTGAAATGAATCATGATATACCTAATCCTGATTTGTCTGTTTCACTTTTGCCTTATATGCCAACAGCAAATCTTGAAGACGAAGATGAAGAAGAAGAACAAGACCATGAACAACAAAATAATAAATCTATAGCATCAACTATTTCGGATAAAACATTTGTTAAAACTTCTCTTAAACCATTTTCATCTGACGAAGAAAGTGATGATGATGAGGATGATGATGATGATACGATCATGGAAGAAAGTCTCACTGCTGATAGTACTGAAAATGCTCGTCCATTATTATTAACTGCTGATCGATCAATTCGTAGACCACCACCAATACGTGAAGAAAAACCAAACATAAAACAAGAAAGAGTTAGTTTTCGTGAACCATTAGTTATCGAACATGATCATTCAAATAAAACATTATTATTAAATAAGACTACATTTGATACGGAAAAATCAAGTTTTATTCGTCCGACTATTGTTGATAAACATAATATTTCAAAATTACCGACAATTGCATCTGATAATTCGTAAGAATATGTCAAATATCTCATTTTTGTCTATATAAAATTCATTTAGAAATGAAGAAGAAAACACTGATATTGTACATCGAACAGAAGAGAAACAAATTGATGTTGATGTACCAATCAATGTAGCTGAAATCTCAAAAAATCCAATTGTTGAACAATTACCTGTTTCAGCAGCTGTCGAAAACAATACGAAAAGAAGAACTACTCGAAGAACTACAACTCGTCTCTTTCGAGAAAATCAAACCGGTAAGAAACTATAAACTAATAGAGTCTAGATAACAGATAAGCATGTATTATTTATTAAGCCTACAAGGTTTGAGTTTGAATTAAACATAATATTGTTTATAATTTAGATAATTTACCAACACAAATACCTGCTGAAGTGCCAAAAGCACGATATGCTACACGATATTCTACTCGATTGGCCAGTTCAGTCAGTAACGAGGAAGTTACAATAACAAGAGCATCAACAATTCATCGCCGAACAACACGTTTTACTTCTGAATGAAAGAAGTAGAAGAAAACTATGATGTATATATCCTTTGCGTGTATTTAATTAATTCATATAATGAAATAAAATTGTATAATGTTTTCTTTATTATGTATTATAATGTAAAGAATAAAATATCTTATTTCGTATTGTATTGATAATAATTTTGACGTAAATTGGCGCGTATATATAAACATATATCAATTTCTTTAAATATGCAATATGAAAATTTTAGTCGTCATCTTCGACAAAAATATTCCACATGTTTACATGTTGCTGATCAACTTGCTGATCAACTTAAACAGAATAGTCAATCAAAAATAATACCTACGTCTGTACATGAATTGCATAATCAAAATATGTTGAAAGCTCAACAGGAAATTTCTTTTCCATTAATATCTTATTTAAATAATATTGAATGTGTTAAAACGAAATCAATTGAGAACAATCAAGAATATAAACCGTACTTTAATGAATGTATTTTACTAGCACAACGAATTAAAAATAATCGACATTCTTCTAATCGGGATCGACAAATTTGTTATGAAAATTTAATTTTAACACAAAAATTAGAACGTATTAAGAAGCAATCAGGAAAAAAAGATTATAAAAATCATTGTCATTTATTATTATCAAAAGTTAATACTACACAGAATCATTCTACCGAACAAATCAATCAGACAACTGTTGAAGAAGAAGAAGAATCTATAGACTCTAGTGAAGAAAAATTCTCTAGAACGATAGTAAGATCTCATTCATCATCTGAACATGAAGATGATCAAGCAACAGCAGCTGATGTTGATGCTACGATGAATTCTTGTCATTCAACATCAACTGTAACATGGAAAAAACGAAAAATATTTCGAAATAATTGTATACAAATAAATGACAATCGTATTTATCAACATCTGAATAATATTGATATGACAATGATTAGAGATACAATGCCTTTGTCAACATCGCGCAATTCTAAACATTTTTCTATCTGTGTTCTTCCTCGTTTTGAATCAATGGGCAATCACTCAAAAGTTGTATTACATGATCAAAAATCTGCATTTAAAAGAGAGATTTTGTATCATTAGATACTTAGAATAAAATATCAAGTGAAGGTTATCAATATAATTATCAGTCGAGTGTTATTGTAATGTCCTCTAACGAGAAAAGATATTCATTATAGTAATAAATGTAAGGCTTTTAAGAATTAGAAATCGTTTAAGTCTGAATGATGCTATTGCACAGCTGTTACAGTTTGTATGTCAAGGAAAGTAAATAAAATAGTTTTAATAGTAGTGTAAGAATAATATCACTGCTTATTTTCATGTATGAACAAACTTTGAAGAATAATACATGCGTCATAACGAATGACGAAATATACATATTCTAAATATAGAATCATATGATAAGGTGAAGATCGTGATAAGAAATTATTAGCTATATATGTTTATTTTCGTTCTTTCTGCACGAATGACAGACAAGATAAGGTGATGTTTTTTTGACATAAACAGATAATTGAATATAAATGACGTCGTTTTTAATTCGTATAAAATACTATATCTCTTTATTCATTAGAATAATTGTAGTCGAATAGAAATGTTGATGAAGATTTTCGCGATTACAATTATTCAATTATAATTGATAGACTATTTTTTATTATATAAATATAGTAATTAAAATGAAATTTATCTATGTCATATTCAGCTAAGAATTATTGTCTCTCTCTAGTATAATTGAAGTAAGTAGGCGATAGAAATTTGAACTCCATTATGTTTTGGTATATGAAAAAAAATTAAACCTAAATCTAATTCTATCCATTATCTAGAAAATTCGATTATTCTTGATTTATAATACAGTAAGGCACGAACACAGTTTCCATTATAAATTGAGAATATCCTATAAATAGTCAGATAAGAGATAATCGAGTGTGATTTAGTTGGAGATCTCATATCCAGATAATTTTATTCCCTGGAGAGAACATAATAAAACATTTTCATGACAAACAACAACAGCAACAATAACATTATGTGTGTATAATTGTATACACATACTTTTTGAGCAAAGCACAAACAATATTCAAAGCTACAATGCTATCATATTTTCGATTAAATATAATGATAAAATTATCTTCATCAAAAAATCAAAAACAACAATAATAACAATAATAATAATTTCACATTTTTTCGAATTTAATAAAATAAAATACAATGACACCAACATCATCAACAATAACGACAACAACAAAAGAAAAATTAGCTTGGCTACTTTCCAATAAAATAAAAAAATGTCAATTAACAGATAAAGAATTGCACCGGTTTTTTTGGAAGACAAAATAAATAAGAGAAAAAAAAGAGAGAAAGAAGAAAGCAAAATAGACTAGAAGAAAAAAGAGAGAGAGAGAAAAATTAATATACATAATTATCCATGTTTTTTGCCATATACAGAATTCATTAATCGTAGACAACCTCGAACCATTTTTGAAAACCAATATAAATTAATAATATCAAGTACAGTACATACAATAATAAGAACAAATCGAAAATGACCCATATGTGACCATAATGGTGTTATTGCAACTGTATAGACTTTATACCAATAAATAGGCATTGCTAATATACGAACAAAAAAGAAAACTAATGTCATCAAAAGACCATTCAATACAAATGCTTTTGATGTTTTAGAAAATTTTAATGTATCAAGAAACCATCTAAAATATATTAATAGAATTGATTATTATAAGAATAAGAAAAAAATAATTTACCTTATATTTACTAAAGGTGTTGATAATTCAGCAAGTAGTCGAAAATTAGCAAAGTATGGCATTACATTAAGTGTTAATACATATGCAAAAGCATATATAGAAACTAAATGATGAGCCATACTAAATGGATCACCAATTTTTCGATAATGTATTATACTTATTACTGTGTCTAAAAAAAAAGAATTTTATATATCATCTATTGAAGCATTCTGAAAATCTTTGCATACTAAGTAAAATGATCAATTAGAGCGAAATCAAGATTATATTATTTTTACGAGCGTCAATCTAATAGAGTCATTATCATATTAATGAAAACTGCAATAGTATATCTACAAATTAATCTGAAATATTGAAGAGGAAAAGGTCATCTATCTCGTTCGAATTATCTTCCGTTTGTATATCATCTCGATGTTAGGGAAATAATTAGAACTATCTTTACTTGGTAAACTTTTTGAGAAATTCCCTTCAGGATCTGCAGTATTCATCTTATTCAGAAATGCTCATTACAGATGTAAGGTATTATTTTGATAAAAAGTTAAATCTTTCTATAATGAATACATTTAAAATATCAACATAAGTATCCATTATAGACAAGATTTACTATACTATCAAATCTTACCGCTTAATAAATATCCAATGACAATTGATAAATTAGTTTTCAATAAATAACTTTTATATCTATTAAAAATTAAGTTATTATAGTCGTTTCGAAGGTTTAAATTATTCTTACAGAAGTGGATTAGCTTCAAGACCATGATCAGCAATCATCATATATACACAAATAGTACCAACCGTAAATGAATTAATTGATGAATTAATTCTACAAAAAAACAAAAAATAATGATTATTAAGTTTGAATTTGAATTAGATTCTATATTTACCTAGTACTCCAATCCACTTTCTGTGTTTCATTAAAATATTTATAATCTTTTATTAATAAATTGGATAAAATTGGATTAAGAAATTTGTAAAGAAAGATAAATAAAGTAAAACTTGTAGCTACAACTGGTAAAAATGTTGGATCAAATTTGATATTGAGCATTTGCTCAAAATTATAATGAGAAAAATATTTTGTTGGCGTTGTTGTTGTCGTCGTTGATGTCATTATTTCTTGTCTCGTATTTATAATTCACCATATATTATTTCTGAAAAAGACAAAATATCTGATATAATCTTAACTTTTATATCTTATATATTGATAATATCAAATGTCCTTTTTCTAGTTTAGTTCATTTTTATATTAGAATAAATGAGTAATGAGAAAAAACTGATGCAATAAATAATGATGTAAATAAAACTATCATTAAGAAGGAAGCATTTCATGATTCATAACAAGCTTTATTCTTATCCAATGATTCTTCTACAACTAAGCAGAGGTCGTTCGTTGCTCAACGAAAGCAGCCGTTCTCTATTCATTAAATATTGTTTTGCTAAGTATGACTTATAAATATCTGATATAAACTGTCAAATATTTTTGTGCCTTAAACTAATGAGTAAGGAAAATAACGCTGTCTAGTGGATAACTAGAATAGCAATAAATTACTCGAATTTTTGAATCGGGGCAACAGGTTACCCACTTGAGTAGATTCTACTACTTTTCAGAATCTGCTCGTGTTGTAGCGACCTAGCCCCATTCATAAATATTTATTTTATTTATCACACATAACATAAGAATAAAAAACAAAATCATAGAAGATAAAAGACACAAAAAATAATTCTTATATTCGTTAATCATATACATAAAAACATATATCAATATCATTCAAATAAATAATACTAAGATAGAAATTGAATTTATCAGATGAATAGTTATATATTAATATCTGACATATTTATTTTACGATCGTATAGAACTTGAAATTTCATAATCAAGCATTTGATCAAGTTCTCGATTGAGATCAGATAACATCGAATCAATATCAGATAAAACATTTGTTGTATCATTTCTAGAAAATAATAGTAAATACAAAAGAAAATTATTAACTAAATCTTACTTGACTATTTTATTTTGTTTATCATTTGGAAATACTTCTGTATAATGTGATCGTTTATCTGTATTTGATAAGGATAAATCATGTCCATTGATTTGTAATGATGATTTTCTTATAGATGTATTTTTATGAGTAAATTCATCATTATTATCATAAATAGGTATTGTTGTTGCTGTCAATGGATATGTTGTTGATTGTTGAAAAAATTCCATAGGTAATGAACGTTTCATTGTATCATATGCTTGTTGACCAGTCAATGTATTATAATGAGTTGATGGTGAACGTTGTTTAATCGTACCCATATTTTCATTTGCAAATGGAATACCATTCATTGATTCTGCACTTGATGATAAATTTAAATCATCAAGTAATTGTAAATTATTTACTATTATTGATGGTTGAGCATAATTCGATAGAATTGTTTCGTACTAATAAAAGACAAAAAAATTCATTTTTTATTTTTCGGAGAAACAGAAACTATTACATGATTATCATTTCTATCTAATTCTCGTTTATTTGAATTAATATTTTCTAAACTACGTGTACGATTTGATGATATGGAATCATAATTATGTATTGATGAATTTATTATTGATGCTGATAAAGGTGGTGGTAAACGAAAAGATGATATTGGAATATATGTACCAGATGATCCTATTCGTTGTTTATTATTTGACGAGAATTGTGATTGACGAATAGTTGCATAATTTGATGAAGTACCTTTCGTTGTTAATCGAAGGCATGATCTTACAAACAAAAAAAATGACAAAATCGATAATTTTATTGAAGATAAAATAAATCATACTTTGGAATAGTATTTTCTAAAGAATCTATTTTGATTTTATTTGATTTTGTTTTATAAAGACCTTTTTCAATATCAATTAAACGTTTAACACCAAGCATAAAACGTTTTTGATGACCTAAACGAGTTATACCAATATCTTCTAAATCTTCCCAAGCAATATTTATTATATCTGCTAATTGTTTATAATTTTGTTTATTTAATAATAAAATATATTGATCTAGACGTAGATAACATAACCAATCATAGAGTGTATCTGGTGTAAAATCTGGTAGACCGTCTGATAAACGTAAACGAGTTATTTCACTTTTGATTTTTCGTCGATGAGATGGATGAGTAATTCCAATAGCTGTTAAATCCTATAATTAAAATTTTATTTATTTTAGAAAAGAAAGAAACAGTGATCTTTTACTTCAGGTGTCATTCGAACAATTGTTTGCATGTCATAACCATTTTTAATAAAATTTTCCGTATAATTTTCATAGGAAAATTCACGTAACCATTTAAAAATGATTTCTTTATCGGGTATACCTTTACGTAAAAGTAAATTAATATTTAATGTTCCAGTTTCATCTAAACTACTATTTGAACTTCGATAACTTGTTTTATCTGGATCAGAAGATTTTGATTCAGTACTTGATAGAGAACGTGCATCACCATTACCAATAAAACTTGATAAAGCCAGAGTCTGAAATTTATATATATATTAGATGATGAATTACGAAATGTATTTATTTTACTTTTGGACTATCGTAAAGTGCTGTTGAACTTCTTCCACTATCGATACTACTTGCTGCACTATGACGATGTGTATTATTCGTTGGGCTATTACGTCTTGAACGTGAATTCCAACTAGATGTTGTTGTTAAACCAGAATCCGTTTGAGACATGCGTGACATAGAATCGCTATCGACAAGAAAATGATTGCTATTATATGTCTGATTTTCTTTACCATTCATTACTAAATCAAAAAAAGATATTCAATACGAATATATATATTTACCAAAAAATTATTTAAAAGAAACACACAATTAGAACGATGATGTCTTAGAACAACATTGCTGTTGATCGTTGCAGCAGCAGCAGCAGAAGTAGTAGTTGATGTTGTGTATAATCGATTAGTACGATTAGAATTGACTGATAAAAGATGAGGATTTCGGGTAATAGAAAGACCTTGACAAACAACATACATGCATTCAATCAATACAACATGCAAATAAACAACAAATATATTAGAAATCATAATAAAGAGAAATTAATCGAACATCTTATTGTCATAAAAAAAAGCGAGAAGAACGGCAATAAGCTTTTATAGAAAATGCTTTTCTTGAAATAATACTCTCTTAACAAAAATATATGGAATTCTACGATGTTGTCTAAGCACAAAAAAAGAACACTGAGCTCTCTCGATATAGATAAGCTGTTGATGGTTTTTGCAACTAACTTGATTATGACTAAAAAAAAATAATATCAGTGTTCTCTATCGTTTTCCACTAGATTCTATTGATGTCCTTGCATGTTCAAGTATTTTTTTTCGTTACTTCTTAATTTATCTAAAACATCTATACTAATATCCGGATAGTTTTTCAAATGATTATTTCTAATCGATCAGATATCATTATAATTAATTTTTCTTTATATATTATTTCTAGTATATTCTTTTTTTTTAAAACACACACGATTCTCACTAGTTGAATTTAATTGCACATATGTACATGGGAAATAACCAGTCCGAGTTGTAAGATCATCTTGTAAAATAAAACCACGCCATTGACCTGTTGAATTATGATCAAGAACCTTGAATAAAATATTTTTGTATAACAAAAAATAACTTCTCTAAATTTATTTGCTTACTGTAATAGAATCTCCTTCAACAAAATTCAATGCTCCAACATGACTATCTTTATATGATTGAATAGCTCGAACAAATATTGCCTCAGAAAAATCTACAATAATAAAACAAAAAAACGATATTTTCCAAATTTTTGAATTTAAAATCAAACCTTTAATTAATCGTTTAATATCATTTCCACTTTTTTGTTTAATTACAACTTCATAAGCTGTTTGTTCATAGGAATTACGTAGATTAACATCAATTCCACATTCTAATAATAATTTTGCTGTTTCATATCGTCCATTTCTACATACAACATGTAATGCCGAACCATCCGTAATTGTCATACGATTAATATCAAATCCATTTAATAATAATAATCGAACTATATCAGTATGTCCATTTTTAGCTGCTAAATGTAATGATGTATGTTGTTCATTATTATGATTCAAAATCATTTGTTTACATAATGTATTGTGTAAAAGTGAATTCACAACATGAATATGTCCATATTCACATGCTAAATCAATTGGCGTTAATGATCGACGATTTATTAATGTTGGATCAGCATGATGAAATAAAAGTAATTGTACTATTTCAAGATGACCATATTGACTGGCTAAATGTAATGGTGTATCACCATTTAATGACTGTTCATTAACATTTGCACCACAACGTAATAGTATAAAAACGGATTCAGTTCGACCTTGCCATGCTGCATAATGTATTGGACGAAAATTTTTCGAATCTTTTAGATTTACATTAGCGCCATTATCAATAAGCAGCTTAAGAATATCAATATTACCCGCCACGGCTGCTTCGTGAATCGAGCTCATTCTAGGTGACAATAAAAAAATATATTGACCTTGAATTATAATTATTTAGAAACAAATGGATAGTTGATTATTACATAGACTTTTTTTTGTACTTAATTGTTATATAGAGAAATAACTACATACAATTATATAGTTAGCCTTTCTCTTTTATGTCATTCATAGATGTATGTATGAGCACTCAAGATTACGTAAACTTGTGAAACTACACACTAGCATGGATTGCGTGTAGAATGTTTGATAGAAGAAAATGATCGGTTTGATGAGGTTTCATCCAGGTTCTCTCCATTCCTTTTTTTCTTACTATTTATCATTAGTTAAAATGAAAGAATAATGAGATAATTGTACGGAAAAAAAATGATGTGAATACTATGGTGATCTCAAAGAATCTCTCTTGAGATATTATGATGATCATCGTTTGTCGGCACTTGACCTTTCTCTTTCCGTTAATCTGACTACTCACTTGGGAATCGAGCAAAAATATATTCAAGGCAAACTAGAATTGACAGCAACAACTTTATTCGCAATTCATGTATATTCTTTCTTCATCCAATATTTTTTTATCATTATCATCAGCAGACTTATACATACATATATACATTTGAATAGAAGGACGACGATGATGATTACCGAAAACAACTAATCATAAAAAGAAATCACTATTCATTAGAATTTAATATATGCGACATAATATAAAAAAAGACTTGATGTTTGATCATTTTTTTTTCCTAAGAATGTGATGACATACTTATCCAATAAGATTGTTTTTTTTTCCTTCTCAAGAAAACATTCAAACAACTGGCAAAGAATGTTATATGTTAGCATATTAATTAAAACTAATTGCTATTAACTATGGAATAAAAAAATAAAAGTTTTTCTTTCATCACATACTTATCGTATTTGTTATACAGTTTGTGATGATAATGTTGTTGTTCAGAGTTGTTAAGTGGAGAAAAAGTAGTATTAGATTGATTGTTAATAACACTGAAATATACCATTCGACTTAGTCTAATAAATAGATGGCATCAGCAATATATTTGTATGTTCTCTCTTATTATATACAGTAAACGACGACCTTTTTTTTATGATTGTTGGGAAGCATTACGATGGAGCATATCTCTTTCTCTTTCTATGTCCTTCTATTTTTTATGCCAGAGAGTAAGAGAATGTGAAGAAAAGAACACACGCTGTCGAGTGGTTAAACTATTGTCCGTCATAATGATACACCAACAAATTTAATGTTCACACATTAAACTTCCGTTTCTTTCCTTTCTCTTATCATTTAACATATATAAAAAAAAATAAAGAAGAAGAAGAGAATCTCTAACATGAAAGGGAAAAAAAGAAAGAGCTAAGTGTCAATTTTCTTCATTATATTCAATCAAATTCTAGTATTTCGTCTTATTTTATATGACATCATCAGTATTATACGTAATCTTCTTCTTCTTCTTCTTCATCTGTATCGTTCAACATGGGAACTATCATCTTTTATTTTTCTGTATATTATAATCAATAAGACTAAACAAAAAAAAAATGAGAAGTGGATGTCAAAGAACAACAATATCATCCATATGGAAAAGAGCATTCACTCGTTCCTAAAGAGAAACATGTGTAATCAATACCAGTAATGCATATGGATAAGAAACAAACGATTAATCGAATTGATAATGATGATCTAATATTTTTTTTCTTAGTTACTCTTACAGATATTCATACCAGTAACAATAAAATATATATCGAAGATATAGAATATTCTTTTGCCTCAAGTCATCATCATCATAGAAGATATAATCAAATATGTATGCAAGACACTCTCCACAATAAAAACAAATTGTCCAGTAAGAGAGAACTCTTCGCAATGTATCATACAAACATATTAGATAAATTATATAATCAAGTTTTTTATTTATCCATTAGTATCTTGAAAATTTAAATTGATGAAATAATATCTAAAGTATTCAAAAAATCATTGATCAATTTTTCTAACATTTACTAGATTTTTCCGACTAATACGTTGAGTAGTATATATATATATATTTGATTTATTCATATTCTTACTCAGTCTATCTATCAATAACATGAGACTTATTACACATGTTCACAACGGTTACGTACACAAATATCGTCGAGTAAAAGAACACATTAAATATTAATCAGTAGAGAAAAAAAAGAATATATACTCGTGAGATGAAATCTCATATGAAAAATCTTATTCTTCCTTAGGGAATAATAATTGAATGAACATTAAGAGTTCAAAAATCGTTTTCGTGTACTATTTATATATCAAATAATTGTACGGTTAATGGATTAAAAATGATCAATAGTGAATCTTTTCTTTACCCTTGTTCTGAACTATGAGTAATAGAGGGCGCACCGCCGCATATTATTATACGATTAATTATCAATTCTCATTTTCAAAGATAGAATAAACTAGATATTAATCATATCAATTCAAAGATTGTTGGCCTTGTTATCTAGTAGTATTTGAAGTTTTTCAAATTATATGTTATTTCATTGCATCTACGCAACAAAATTTTGTTTTTTTCACATCAATTTTCTTTTCTGTTCTGTTATGTATTTTAAACTATAATAAATCATGGCATCGTCACATGTAAAGCAATCATGTGTAAAATGTGATAAAGGTGGTGGTATTGCAATATGTTCTGGATGTCAACAACAATATTGTGTTAAACATTTTATTGAACATCGACAAGAACTTGCGATAGAAATGGATCAAATTGGTCAACAACATGATTTACTTCGACGTGATTTATCAAAAGATATGCCAGAACATTCGCTATTTACTTCTATTAATACATGGGAACGAGAATCAATAACGAAGATTCAAGTTGCTGCAGAAGTAGCTCGAGCTGATCTTCAACAAATACTTGATCGAACAAAAAATGATTTAAAAATATCTGTAGATAAATTAACGAATGAACTTCAATCAAGTCGAGAATTAGATGATTATACTGAAATTGATATTGAAAAATGGATGAAAAATTTAAAAGAACTTCAAATGATATTTGAAACACCAGTAAATCTAAATATTTTATCTGATAATGATTCACAATCATCAATAAATTTAATAACAATTAATACTCAATTATCTATAAAAAATAGTTTACAAATTTCGAATAAACTAACACATGAAAGATTTGATACAGTTTATGGATTGACGAATATATCAGAAAATGGTCTTGTTGCTCAAAATATTGGTGATAATTATTCAAGAATATGTGGAAAGAATGAATATTCATCTGGTGTACATCAAATTTCCTTTCGATTAGATGAACAAACAAATTCTTGTCCTTTCCTAGGTATTATTTCATTAACAGATGTATTAAATTTACGAGAGATCACATTATCATCAGCTAATGGATGGTTAGATTTAGATTATCCTATTATCAATGGTAAAACTCAAGCTATAGTTTTTTCTAATCGAACTATTCAATCAGGTGATGAAGTAACATTAATAATAGATTGTGATAATCAAGAAATTCTTCTCGAACATCATCGTACTAAAAGACTTATTCGTCAATCGATTAATCTTCAACAATGTCCATTTCCATGGAAAATACTTGTAGCATTATCATCAAAACATGGATCTATACGTATTCTTAATTACAATAAATCTACATAATTTCTTTTACCATCAAGATGGTAGACTCATAATGCTTAGCATCACGAAGTTAACTAATTAATTAGAGAAAGAGTCGAGATTCCTTTGGGACGAAAGTTCGAGCACCTAAAATTATCCCTTGGATACATATAATATCGTACAAGCTGTTGATTTCTAAAGACAATGGTGTCTGAGTAATTTCAAATACACGTTCGTGTATAATAGTATTTTTCAAGAATGTATTTTTCTTTCAAATAAATTGTCACCAGATTTTTTACTTATAAAAACATTAATTTTACATTTCTTTTCAACTTTGAAATATTTAATAAAAAAGAATTTTTTCTTCTTACTTCATTTTTAACTAATACGGTATTCTTTTAACCGCACAAAAGAAGTACGAATCATAACAAAAAAAATCTATTCTCGTAAGAACAATCGAGATGACCTTCGAAAGAATATTAATATATATATATATATATTTAGATTAAAACGATGGCATTAACTCTTACAAGAAGAGTTTGTGGTAAATGTAATAAAGGTGCAGGTACTGCTATGTGTTATGGATGTGAACAAGCATTTTGTACAAAACATTTTCTTGAACATCGACAAGATCTTTCACAACAAATGGAATATATTGGGCAAGAACATGACGTTATACAACGAGATTTAACACATGAACAAGATACACATTTTTTAATCACACGTATTAATCAATGGGAGCAAGAATCTATTACAAAGATTCAAATAGCAGCACAATCAGCACGTACTAATCTTCAACAATTACTTAATCGACCAAAAAATAATTTACAAACATCAGTTAGTAAAATAACAGAAGAATTACAATCAAGTCGAGAATTAGATGATTATACTGAATTAGATATAAAACGATGGACTGATCAATTACAAGAATTCCGTAAAATACTCGATGCACCTATATCAGTAAATATAGATTATGAAAAAGATTCTCGATCAGCTGTACGTTTAATTAAAATAAATGATCAACAATCATTAGATACTTTATATCAAACATCACAAGTACCTGAATATAATGATTGGATTTCTCATAATTCTGATACATTTCTTAGTGAAAGATTCGATGATACATTTGGAAAAGTTATTTTATCTGAAGGTGGTCTTGTAGCAACATGTGCAGGTGGACATGCAGATAGATCTTGTGTTTGTGGTACAAGTCGATATTCAGTAGGTGTACATTATATTCATTTTCGAATTGAACAAACTAGTACACATTATCATTCATTTTTTGGTATTATTAATTCATTAGAAAAAATGACGTTTGATATATGGAATTCATCATCATTTCATGGTTGGTGGGATCTTGATTATAGTGTTATAAGTGGTAAAAGTAATCGACGTCTTTCACCTGAAACTATTCGAATGGGTGATGATGTAACATTAATGTTAGATTGTATTAATCGACGAATACAATTAGAACATCACCGAACAAATAGAACTGTTACTATGTCTATTGATATTCAATTATGTCCATTTCCTTGGAAAATTATTGTTTTATTACTTGGTAAAGATGATTGTGTCAGAATTCTTCAATAGAATTTTTTATTGATATTGCTATATAACTAAATGTATAAAATAAAAACAGCAGTTGATATTACACAGTTAATTATAAATGAAATAATTATGGGCATTATACTAATCACTTACTCATATTTTAAATAATTTTTTTTTAATCAAATATTGTTTTTTTTGATAAAGTTTCAATGTCGAAAATACAAATACTTATATGATATATAGAAAAAGTTTGATGAGTGTCACTATAACTTATATTCAATGTCAAAAATTGAGATAGATCAAATAATCCATGGTACATATAAAATTCTTCCCAAGTAAGACAGTTCATATTCAGTTTTAACTCTAGTATTATCAACCAGGGTCCAAATGGACCCTGTTTTTTAAAAGCAAGAAAATATTATGAAATCTATTCTTTTTTTGGATGAAAGTATGAAATACATTGTCAATGACATAGTTATTTTTGATTAACTAATACGTAGATACAATTCGCTTTTAATCAGATACTTGTTGAAAAGAGAAAAAATATCCTTCTCGAAATGCATTCTATTTTTTATCGCTAAAAATCGGCTTGGGAGTACTAGGACTAATGTGCATGTAACATAGTTCTATTGTGAATACTCTTCAAGTATTGATACATATATAAAATCTGTATCACCATCATAATATTAATTGGTCAATAGCTCGCTCTTCATATTAATGTATAAGGTATCTATTGTAAATAACCGAATACATAAAAATATTTCCTGATTACATGTTGTTCATTGCCATGGTAAATAATCTTTTTCTAATAATTGCATGCTTTTGTTTCTAATATGAAACATATCTACTGTTGTTATTTGTTAATTGTCGTGATCGACTTCAAATTTGTTTCTTTTTCTCTTTTCTTCTCAAATTGCATGGCAAGGACAAGAAAATCTACTTTAATATTCGTCATCATTTTGTTCTTTATTTGCTTTCGATAAGTAAAGGTTTCACCAATTTCTTTTTCTTTTAACACATATAAAACATCAACCTATCATTTTCGAATACCACAATGAAACAAGACTGTATTAAATGTCAAAAATGTGTTAAATTATCAACGTGTCATGGATGTCAACAAATATTTTGTAATGAACATATTATCGAACATCGTGAAGAATTAGCTCATAAAATCGATAATATACATAAAGAATATCATCAATTTGACAATAAATTAAATACAAATAATGTAATTCAACCTTATATTTCACGTATCGATCAATGGGAACATGAATCAATAGATAAAATTAAAAAAACAGCCGAAGCAGCACGTAATGATTTATTAAAAATTCATGATCGTATGAAAAATCAATTAAAATTATCTATTGATAAAATAAATAAAGATATTCAATCAACTCGACAAACAATAGATTATACAGAAAATGATTTAAATGAATGGACAAAACAATTAACACAACTTCGTCATATACATAAAAGTTCATTTAATGATGATGTTATTGATGATAGTCAAGGATCTATACGATTAATTAAAATTATTGATGAAAAACAATCAATTTTTCCTGATGGAGTAGAAATTATACCACGTGAAAAATTCATTAAAATTCCTGATAAAATTCCAACATTACAAGATGATCAGAAAAAACAACGTATAATAAGAATTTCCGTATCACGTGATAGTTCTACAGCAACATGTCTAAAACCTGGTTGGAATGGTGCAACTATTTGTTGTAAAAATCTATATATTTCTGGTATTCATTCAATTCGTTATCGAATAGAGAAACAAGGAGCTAATAATCCATTTTTTGGTATTACATCAGCTTTAAAAGAACCAAATCCATGGAATCGTAAAACTCCATTAGCGTATGGTTGGTGGGAAATTCCTGTGCCTAATGATAAACTAGATATTTACAAAGGAAATAATGATACAAAAGAAAATAATGATAAAAGAGAAAAGACAAATTTCAAAGATTTTTGTATGAGAACAGGTGATGAGATAACATTAACATTAAATTGTACCAATAATGAAATTGAAATTGAAAATCATCGAACAAAACAATATATTTATGAAAGAGTTGCATATGAAAAATGTCCTTTTCCATGGAGAATTGCTATTGTTTTATATTCTCCAGGTGATTCTATTAGTATTTTATCATAGAAAATAAAACAAATATATACGTTATTTTTTATTACTTCATTGACATTTAAACAGAACAAATATATAAATAAAATTTTCTTATAAAACTTCATTGTTTATAAAATAGTCAATAACTTGTTCGGTAATTTGTTTTGCTATATCATTACAAAAATTCATAAGTAATGTTGAATTATCAGTTAATATAATCATTTTTTCAGAACTTTGAAAATCTAATGATTCCAACATGAAATTATTGTAAGCAGTTTTTTCAGCCATCAATTGTTAGTTGAACGTGTTTAAGCAAAAAAAAATAGAACAAGAAATATAGATGACGACTATAAATAATAAAAAAGAGTTTTTATGTGACTCGGATACATCGATCATGATAATGTTTTTATTCATATATATATGAATGAAGTTTGTAACAGTTAATCGACTAATATAACATGATCGTAAATAAAAGAATATATTTAAATAGAACAAGAAACGGAAAGACAAGGTTATTCTTTATTAATAGAAAATTTATTGTCAAGCTGTTCATAAGATTTTTATCAATATAATATAGACCTAAAAATATGCGTAATAAAACAATAAAAGATAATCATCAATATTTATTAATTAAAACTATAAATATTCACAAAAATAATCTAGATTAGATTAAGGGGTCATTCATAAAGAGTGTACAGACAAAAGTCGCATTTTTGCACCTCACCTTCCCATTAGGACGTTCAGTTTGCAAAATCTTTTCGATACTACTGAATTTTCTTTGATCAAATAACTGAGATATTTTCCATATACCTAGTTTATGCTTCTAAGATACGTCATCGGTAGGAAAGATATGATTTTGAAAAACTTGTACTCTCTAAAAAACGAAGATCTACAGAATTATATTTAGAGTAGTTCTTAGCGTAAAATCTAATGTTGATAAGTAGAAGTATTTATCAATGAATATGACTATCGAGATCTTTTTAGGATAATAGTAGTTCGCAAAAGTCCAAATGAATTCTACCAGGAGTCGTGATTCAATTGAATTAGAAATATATATTTTTGCTATCTTAGATCAGGTATAATCGAGTCCGCTTTAGAGACTTGCGTGACGGTGACTATGGTCATTTTGCAAGTCTCTAGTCATGAGATTTCGACCCAAAAGTGCGATTCCAGTTCCATTTCTAAGTTATGATGGGAATCGGATTCGTAAAATAATCAAATATATGCTACAATTGTTACATCTGTGATTTCGAGTCTTTATTTTTGAAACTAAAAGCGTTGCACATTATTTATTTAAATTTAGTTATTGAATAGTCGAAATTTTTGTATCGATTTGATGATTTGAACGTTTTGGTTCTGTCAAACTTTGAAATGACGATTCCTACTCTTCTTCTGCTCTAGTTTATTTTCACACTAGACGAAACTCTTCTAAAACCAATTTCGCTCGAAATATGAGAAAAAAGTAGACGTCATTTATGCATAGATTCTAGTAGATTTATTCTATAATACAGATGGATGTTTTCTAAGAAGTTGTAACACATTTTTATTGTGTGTGTCTTCACGCGCACACGACCAACTAATAATAATATTAGTTTGATCATATTTTATTTTTCTGAACTCATGTTTATACTATAATATATATTTAGAATAATTTGATTCGCACGCTTACTACTCTTGTTTCCTTTATTTAAAAAGAAAATGGTTGATCTTGATTTTCATATAGATAAGAAAATCACTTCATATAAGTACGCTTAAATCATTGTTCATTTGCAGCTGTTCCAAAAATAATATTAAACAAGATCTTCTAAAAACGAGAAATATTTCATTTTCAAAATATTTTCTAAGAAAATAGTAACTATCATTTAAAATCAAGGAAATGAATAATTAGATAACTTTCAGATACTTTTTTATTGTACCCATAGAATAAAATTTATTACTCATTTCTTATCCTGAAGCAGAAATGAAATGCAGTTAAACGAACAATTGATATATAAGTTTTATATCCGTTTACTGTATTGACATGTTTGTCAAAGGAACAGTAAACAATATATATATATGACTAAATTGCCAGTCTCCTTTTATTTTGATTCTAGTTCCTGTCGTTCAATTTGAAAAGCTTTTTTCTCTTTGTTGATTGTCTAAAAGCACAAATAAAAATTTAGTTGTAGGTTATTGGACCTTGATCAAACACAATACGTTGTCATTGACAAAAGTCTCTTTTTTTCCTATAATGATTCATTGCAGAAAGAATAGAGTTTCTAGGAACGAAATCAAATATACCATCTTTTTATGGCATCAGCTGTCTAGTCCATGACCTAGTCGTCTACGTCCGAAATACTTTCGTATATAATTTTATTCTTGTATAGAAGAACACAAAGTGTCTTGTAACTATAAGATATGTATATGAACGAGACAATCCAATAATCAAAATAAATCTAAGTCTCTTCCAATTTTATTTTTAAGAAAATTGGTTAAAATTTTTTCAAAATTAATACGTGCATTGAGACCATACTGAACTATTTTGAATGTTTTTATTGTGTCATGTTGCCATGTAATTGCTTATACTCAGACTATAACATCATAAATTATATAGCAAGTAAAAGCTTTACCTCTAAGTTATATTTTCCTTCTGGTGAAATTTTACATTATACGGTAAAACGTAGAGAAAAATTTTTTTTAGGTAAAAGAAAAAGGAAGAAGAAAATTTCTTTATGATTTTTCTAAGCTTAGTAAATCAAGAGTATACTTCTTACACTTCATTCAACTCGTCCCAACTTTAATAGAGTGATTGCAGTTGCATAGTAATAGTCTCTCATACAAAGTTAAGATGGGAAGGAAAAGTATGGCAAAATAAGTTGCGGTGACATCAACCCTTTGATAGGATTGTTCTTAACTTTTCGGAAATATTGTAAAGTAAGTAAACTGTACGTTTGTAGTATTTTACATTAGAAAATAAGGTAAAAATTGAACTCATCAAAATGTGTAGTCAATAATATTTGTTAAAAAATTCCTTGAACGGCATACATGCATATAACTGTAGTATAAAGAAAAGTAATCGTGTTCTCTTCAAATCTCACTCGATTAAACAACCCAAGAGCTATGAATTGTTCCATACTAATTATTGAGGTCTTCATGTTATTTAAATACTCTTCCTCTTTTTGTTCATAAACGTTTATGGACAGAAAATCGTATATTATATCCCACTTATCTCAGTTAGTGATTATCTAATAATTGAGAAATCTCACATCAATCTTCAGGAAAACGTTATAGAGTCAGATGTATAATCTAATTTTTTTTAGACGTTGACTTTTTAATACTAACTTGATAAAAGAAAAGCCATAAATCATTCATTTATATATATATACATATATATTTTCTATCTGGTATGTATAGTTTCATATTATATGAAATATTTGTCTTCTAAATGTCAGTAATATATTCAACAGCTGGTCTTATTATTTACTATTGCTTGAAAATATTATTTAATATATTTATTTATCGATTTTTTTATCATACAATCAAATAAAGTCTTATTTACTGAATATATATCTGTCACAGATAAAAAAAAGTACAACTGTAAATATATGAAAAACCAGTTGTTTCTTTTTAAATATCTATATATCCAATGCTTTCAAGCAACTGTTACTACTCAAATACGTATCCAACGAATAAATAGTCGTTTGAATACGTAAACAATACTGTCATACACTAATTAAGACCGATAAACAAATTGGATCTATTATTATTATTAAACCTTCATTTGTAACAAATACATTAAGTAAGTTGTACAAATATCTATAGTTGCCTTTTAATATATCTAGTGCTTGTACGTCGATAAAATATTCAATCACTAGTTGTATTACAATATCATTCGATAGAAATCAATACTTGAATTACAAAACAATTCAATTTTATACAGCTTATGTCTGTCGTTAAACCATAATAATTAATACCTTTGTAAAGGTTATTAATAAAAAAATATGCTAGTTATACTTTAAAAACAAACTATATAGATCAACGATATTTCGTAACAGACAGCAGATGTTAAATGGCAATATTCTATATATATATAATTAATTATATAAAATTTTATTAAAAAATTATAATATTGCCTATTAATTTTAAGTGAATAACATAATGCATTATTCATATTTATTATATACATAATAATTTATTACTGAACATGATGGATTAGATATTATTGATTATTCGTAGATAGCGAAAAATAAGTTATACTATTGGGCGCATTGACATCAACGAGAGACACTAGCACGTATGCAATTAGTATCTGTCATAAACTGATAAAATGTCGAACACATTGTATCAATATCTTTTATAGCAAAGCATGTATAACTATTTATGCCACAATACTAGTTAATGTGTCTATCCACAAACCGCAAGGATATCTGTAGACCGTTCACCTACGTGAATTTGTAAGTAATAGAAAACAAATTCATTTTGAAATATTTTTTTCTTCTTCTTTTTCTTAGATTAACACATTGTTTTTGCATATTCCTATGTTGATGTTCTACAATAAACGGTCCAATTAACATCTACACACATCTGAGATGCATTCAATTGTAGAATTACATTCAACATCATATAATACAAAATTCTTCTGATGTTTGTTCGAGCACATATTGTCTTGCTGTGAGATCTGGATAGTAATTTGTTCGACATTAACATGTTCTACGAAATACATAAGGTATTGACAAAACATTGATTATCAGCTGTGTATGCATGAGCAATTTCTATTTGTATTATACATAAGCCAAGTGTACTATTGTAACACAAATGTCCTGAATTATATAAACAATAACCATTTGTCCAAACAGCAATATACATACAAACATATTGCAATATACAACTTTCATAAATTGATTTTTTTTGTCGTATTCATACATCAACAACAAGAATAGTTAATAGAAAAAGAATTGTTAATTAAAGCCAACAAATATCAATTAAAATTTCTTGCGATGGTGGTATGAGTAAGTTCTTTAATTTCTAGTTTAACATTTATTAGTTATAGGTTAATCAATTGTTTAGTATCACTTTTTTTTTTTAAAAAATCATATAGAAAAAAATATTTTTTTATTTAAAAAAAGAAATCATTTCCAAAGAGTTATATAAGAGTCTAATGGAGGTAATGATTGTTGAGTAGATTTTCGTGCTGTTGGTATTAAACGTGAATTAAAAACTAGAAAAAAAAAATTGAATTAAATTAGTTATTAATTCATATCCGATAGACTTACTATAACCTAGACAAGCGAGGCTATCACTATCATTAGTTCCATCACATAAATCTCGAAGTGTTTTTTTTATCTTCGATTTTGATGGGTCATTTCCATCCGAGGTGCCATTTGAATGTAAATTATTTGTATTGATATAAACAGATTCATCGAGTGATATGCGATAATCACGTACACGACGTAAATAATCATTTAGGACGCAATATTGCACTAATTTTCTATGAGAAGATAAGATAAGAATAGAAAAAAAAACAGAAAATCTAAATCAGTTATTTTCTAATACTTTTCATCGATATTATTTGCCTTCATTTTATTAACAACATCTTTAACAAGTGAACCATGATCAAATGCACATATCATACTAAAACATTCATAAAATGTTGCACAATCTTTTGCACCTAGAAATAAATCAATCATAAGATTAAATAGGACAAAAAAAATAGATTTTTTCTTAACCATTTCGAACAACAAAAAATACTAGTTCTTTTTGTAATGATACATCTGTATAAAGTTTTTGAATTTTTGGTGTAACGATATAACGATTTTTATAAGAAAATATTGGTACAAGTCGAATAACATTATGATATCTAAAACGAATTCAATAAATAATTTGAGCAGTAAAATAAAAAAGAGTTACTTACACTAAATTTTGCATGGCTGCTTTGACTAGTGCAAGTTCTGTATCTGTATCTTGTGCAATTTTATTCACATGTCGTAAACCATCGATACTAGCAATAACCTTTTATTAAATAGATTATATTAGTTTTTAATATTTGAAATATTAATTAGTTACTCGTTGTGTCATTTGATCCATTTGTTCAAGATCACTTAAATCAATATTATTACAAAACATTGGTACATCAGACGATGCAATTGCAGGTGGTTCAGTTTGTTGTTCAAGTAGTTTAAGATTAACAAAAACCGATGAATCTAGGAAAAGAAAAACAATAGATATACATCATGTCATGATGAGATTATCATAAAGAAGAATTGCTATAGGTATATTTTAATTAATCAAATAGAAGACAAGTAGATTAGTAGTTGTCATCTTAAGAATTCATCTTCTTAGCTGTCAGAAAAAGCAGCAATTCAGTAAAAAAAGGCGAGGGTGGTAAATGTTGTAAGATGTTCTTTTTCTAAAGATTTTCAGACAGTTGTTTTTTTGTTTTTTCTTCATTAAAACAAAAAAACAACGATTAATTATTTTAACTTACACATTTTAACAGAACATTGTTGTCCATTTTCATTCATTTGTTTAACAATTTTATCCAATGCTGGTTTTAAATATTCTTGTTTAAGATTGTCATTTGTTAAAAAACAAGAATCAATCTATTAGGAAAACAAAAATGAGTTTTTATCATTTATTGAGAAGATAATAATTGTTTTTAATTACTTCTAATGTACGTAAATATGTTGCTAATTTTCTAACAGCAACTTCATATTTAAGTGCATCAGCTTGTGCTGGAACAATGAAACAAGCATTGAAACGAAATTCATTACGATTATTTCTATATTTTTCTCCATCAGATATAATGACTGGACATCCAAGTAGTTTTTGATTGTCAATTGTTCTATATACATATATATATACATAATACTAGAGAATATAATATAAAATAAACATACAAAACAATAAGTTTATCTTTTAAATTTGGTTCTGGACAGACAAAATTTCGTATCCAATTAAATTGTCGTTCTTCACTAAAATTTGTTTTTGCTGTCTAAAACAAAAAATTAAAACAACAAACAAATCATCTATTTATTAATAAAACTTACTTCATAATAGACATAAGCTCCTTTCCTAATATCAAATTCTGAATATTGAATAGCATAAAGTGCTGGTAAACTACCATCTGTCATTACGATTTCTTTTCAATCTAAAAAAAGGATTAAAATAATAAGTCACGCACATATCTCGTTTAGATATATATGATTGATTCTATTACGATAAATATAGACATAAATATGTTAGCCTAAGAACAGAAACTTGCGAATTTTTATTTGCATGTTATTTATATATCTGATTTGTTTTCCTTTTCTTTTTTTCTTGAATGGAAACACTCAATTAATCTCTTATCGAATTATTTCGAGTTCATAGAGTATTTTTCGCTTTTGTATTAGTTCATAAATATGATTTTTTTTACGATTTATTTCTTTTTTTATTTAATGTTAAAACTTTAATAATAATGTATATTATTAGGTTTTTTTGTCATTAATATATGTGGATCTTAATATTTGTAGAAAAAGAAAATGAAATTTAGATGTAGTATCTATTTTTGATATATGCCTTTTTTTTCTTCTTCTTGACGTCTTCAGTTGTCATATGTTAAGCCGATAGCAGCCGATAGTATTTCTCTAATAAGCTTATATCATTAATATAATGAATACTGGAAGATTATTAGATATCTAAAATATACGCTGTCGATGGATTGTAATAAAAAAGTGTCTGCGTTTATTTACGTCAGACATATGTATTCTAACTAAAAAAAGGACGAAGAAAATGAATGAGATCAGTTGTCATCTTTATCTAGAAAAAGATGTTCATTAATAAACTCATTCTTTTAACATCTCACTAGATACTTTTGATGTGAGTATAAATATACTATGACTGATAAAAATCAAGAATAAGAGAAAGAGATTATCATTGAATGTTTTTTTTGTTTTTATAAATTTTATTTATGAATACACCAGCAACTTAACAAAAATATCTTTGTCTATCAACTAGATTCTTTTTTTTTTCTCTTCATATTTTTTTTAGCGGAAGAGAAAGCCGGATGAAATGCGAAGAAGAAAAAGATTTCTTTCTCTTGCTTATTTGCTCCATTCAAAGTCTCTGCATCAATTTTCTATACATTCTGTTTTTCTTTTGTCTTCATTGTTTTCTATTAAAAATAACAAACAAAACATTCATGCACACACACGTTATCCTACATCAGTCTCCGATCGAAAAACCCACGCATCATGGATAATGTAATCATACTCTGATTGTAATAAACTATTGTAAATATCAATAAAAAAACTAAAAAAAAAACTAAAAAAAAAATAAGGAACCTTCTATTCTTTTCTTTTCATATTATTTCTTATAGATATATAATTATGTGGAATGTCACGCCGATGGGATGTAATAATTCTTTAACACGTTCATCTAATAGTCGAGAACCTTATCGTACAATAACTTTAACTTTATTACGTGTTTATCCAATATTATTTATATTTGTTGGTACAGCTGGTAATTTACTTTCTGTATATGTTGTACTTCGTTCAAAACTTCGACGTCATTCAACATTTATTTATCTAGCATTTTTATCTATTATTGATCTTATTGTTTTATATACATTTTGTGTTAATTTTATACTACATGCATGGTTTAATATTGATTTACAACAAGTATCATTAATAGCATGTAAAATATTTTCTTTTTCAATATATTTTTTTCCGCAAGCAAGTGCATGGATATTAACAGCTGTATCAATCGATCGCGTATTTGCATTAACTCGTGGTATACGAAAAACACGCAATATACGATTAACTTATTCTATATTATTAACAATATTTCTTATACTTTTTTTTCTCAATGTACAATTTTTATTCTATAATAATACGTATAAATATTCAACCGAGACAAATAATTTGTCATCAACAACTATTTTTTATCAAATCGTTGATACCGATATGGATATTAATGTTGTTCAATGTTCATCAGAAAATAGTGAAAAATATAAAGAATTCTATATAAATATTTGGGTTTATATTGATGCTATTGTTAATGTTTATCTACCATTTATGTTAATGTTTTTATGTTCAGCAATAATATTTATTAGTGTTTTACGAACTATGGGTAATGCAAATAATTCAAATAAACGTTTAGTTGCAAGAAGTTTAAGTACAATGCTTTTATCAATAAATACAATGTTTGTTTTATTAACTGGTCCAATTGTTTTATATTTAATGTTTGAAAAACAAACTTCCTCATCTGGATCATATGAATGTGATATTAAAGTTAAAGCTAGATATAAAATGATTAAATTATGTTTTATTATATTAATGAATGCTAATCATACGGGCAATATACTTGTGTATTGTTTAACTGGTACAGAATTTCGTACACAATTACTCTATGTTATTGGTAGACATAATAAATTACAACAGAATCATTTTCTAAGGTATCGAACAGGAACAATAAATAAAGATAGTGCATCACCAACATCAAGAACATCAAGTCGAAAACATTATTATTGTAGTCCTCCAACTGTAAGACTTGCAAAAGTAAGATTATATTTATTAATTAGATAAATTATTCTCTTTCTTTTTTTTTATGTTTTCTTAGATGATTGATAATGTTGATGATAATCAATTAGTAACTAAATATTCACCGCGAAGTGAAAGAAAATATATTATTTTTAAAAATAAACAACAGACACAATCAACAACAACTGCGAGTATTTAATTAAACGTTTTACTGTTTTTTATTATTATACTATACGATTAGATTGGGTAGTATAAAAATTCGTTTTATCTTTAGAAAAAGAAAATGACTATCTCGTGTTTAATCTCACAAATGAGCCTCATTACTATTTATTTTTCAATGTACTGTTTTTCTATTATTATTGTTCTTGTTCATTCAGTGTAATACCTGTGTATCAAAGTTTTATCCTTGATGTGAACAATTAAATGAATATACTCGACACAACAATAAATCATTAACGATATTTATAATCTTAATATATAATGATGTTTTTATTAAAAAAACAATTTTTTCTTTTGAGGTTACTATTTTATCTACTTAATTTTTAATGTATATATAATAAAAATTATCTCGAAGGCTGGATATTTACTATATCACAAAAGATTGTAAAGAAAAAGTGAAAAGTCAGGCATATCAAAATCTATTTCTGATAGTGCACATTTTATTATTCCACATCAATTCATCTTTCTATTAATTAGGAATGAGTAAGAAAATCAATCTATAAACATAATTTTTTTATATATGTTATAAAATTTCAGTTAGAATGTAACATCATTATTCTTACTTAAAAATTCATATTTTTACTATATAAATAACCGTTTTATATTCTTGTCAATTATGCTAATTATTTTCTCTTATTTCTACGAAAGAATAATATTTTTAGGCATTGAATATCATCTTCCCACTACTGAAATAATCTATCTACAGTTTATAATTGATCGCGAATAGAAAACTAAATTAGTATATATATATCTATAATGGAGTTGAGAGTATCTAATAATAGATGAACGGAAGTGATCAAGCTTTCATTTCGTCGTATGAGTGGGTCAGACTAAAGTATAGGTTAGAACAGATTATATTTTAATAATTTTCTTTTTGTTTTATTTTATAAAAACACTAATTAAAAAGGAAATAATAAGTTAGTTTCAACTTTTTTTTTTCTATAAGGGAAATAGAACACTGTAGTCAATAATTATTAATTAAACGAGAAATAGAAAAAAAATGCGGAACTACACTTACTCTCGAATAAGAACTAAAACTTAGAAAAATAACACAACTCAGATTGAGATTAGAATAAGAATATATATATTTATTTCTGAGAAAAACCTAAACACACGCTTGTCGTATTACAAAAGATAAAACTATCTTTATAAATCTAATTAATTTCAGACACTCGACAAATTTCTTTATGAAGTTTTACCACATCGATTTACAAAAATTAAATTTTTTAATTTATTATGTCACTCACTAATTAAAGAGATCTTCAATCGTGGGCCATAATTAACAACATTGTTTTGTGGTTACAAAGGAAATATGTCCTTCAACAAAACATTCGTACGGATTAATTCAAAATTCTGAGTACATAACCTATCGATACGTGAAACTACAAGAGTTTCAACAGGATTTAGTTTATATTAACTTTTCTTTTAAAACGATACTCATTTTGCTGGAATTCCTGTCTAGCGAAAAATCTATACTAAATTATGGCATTCAGTCGTTATGACCTTGCAGAAATAGTTTCATGATTTTTAAAAGTAGAAATATTCATTTTTCTACCTGTGTTTTGAAGTAACAACATTTTGCTCGTGACTTTTATCTCCTAAAAGCAGAAAAATATTTTAAAAATCACAAATCCTAGCTACAGACAAAATATCTATAGGACATATAACGTTGCCAATGTATTATAGGGAAATATTTCTATAATAAAAAAAAGACGAGAGATTTATACAGGTCAAATTTTATTCTGATAGAAATAATAGTTATACAATAAAATGCACAAAAAAAAGAGAGAAAAGACATCGAAAGAATTGACTACAAACATATATATCATTTGCTGGAGTACTGTAATACAATAGCAGCAAGGAGAAAAAAAGAGAAAACTATATCAAGAAAGACCTGAACATATATATATATTCATAAAGAAGAAGATTACATCAGAGAAAATGCATATACGAAAAAATGGTGTATATACCTGAGAAAGATTTAATAAATGAACCGGGTTTTCTTTCTCTTTATAAAAATTTCTTTTGTTTTTTTTCCAATGTGTAAAATCGATCATAAAAATGAAGAATAAATGTTTCTGTTTTTATCTTACTTTTGATAAACAAAAACCAACAATAAAATCAGAAACCGGGTTTAAAATGCATCAAGAATAAGCAAAGAAGAAAAGTGATAACATATATATACACACACACGCACACGCACACACACACACACACACACAAATGAGACAATAACTGTAACTATTGCACTTTCATATAAACAAAAGAAGAAATAAAAGAATATGAAATATTTATCTATATTTAAGTATCAATATTTATTGTTGATTTGGTTCCATCATTGAATATTTCTTTAAAAGCATCAATAAGACGTTCAAGTCCAAATAAATATCCTCTATCTGGACCTAAATGATTATTTGATGCTGTACTTTCATCAGTTGTTGAAGCACATATTGAATGAGCAAAATCGATCATACGTATATCAATTCGATTCGATTGTGGTAAACCATCATAAACAATTAAAAGACTACCACTATAAAAACGATATTTAGGTAAAGAATTTATTGTTTCATATAAAGATTTAAGTCGTTCGATAATTTCAGGTACAATATCAAGACGTTTTATACGACCATTATTAAAAAATTCTGCTAATTCTGAACGAAAACCTTCAACAGTTAATATTCGTCCTCGGTATTTATCAGTAAACATAAATCGACCACTATCAATTTGATAAACCTAATCAAAATAAAATTTTTAATATTCAATTTGATTTGAATAAGAAAAGCAACTTACCTGCATTCCACATAAACGTACACCTAATGTTGATGAAGTTGATGATGCACATTTTTGAATTTTTGATTGACGCTTTTTATCAGAATCAATATCAGCATATTGTCTTTTACCCATTTTTAAATCAAGTATACATGGATGACGAAATCGAGCTGTAACATCTTCTAATAGCATATATTCTATAAAGATAAAACAAGAGATTATTAGAATTTAAAAATATTTTTAATGCAATGATCACGATAGAATTGAGATTAAGTCTCAAGTCTAACTGTTTTTCTCGATATTTAGATGCTCGTATTAATTTAGTTATAGGGATTCCCGAAATTCGCCAGTGGCATTATGTGATTACACATATGTAAAAATAGCTCCTAGTAACTATATTGAGGAGTTTAAACTATGGTATGCTTATTCTAATAATATTAGGTTAATTTTCCACATGTGTTCTATACTAATCTTATATTATTACAGTTGGCGAGAATATACTAGTATTACGCTAAATGACGCCTGAAGTTTCGTCAATCGCGAATGCCCTATTGACGAATAGACAGTAAGTCTTCTAATACATGTACTATGTATGACTAAACTTCACATGATTCAATAAACTAGAAACATTTGGGTTTGAATTTAAGAAAGTTTATTTTTCAAGGTCAAAAAATACTTGATTCTAAGAATTGATTTTAGAATAGAATCATTAAAATTTCTAATACCGTTTAATTTTATAAATAACTTAAAAAACTTGTGATATATTTACTTTGTGCAACAGTTACATATCCAGCATCCATTAATTCTTGATGTAATTTTTCAGCTTTCTTTTTACATAATTGTAAACTCCAAGGATTTATTTTTGATATGATTGTTTTTCCTTGTTCATAATTAACAATATCATTTCCTATACTATTCGAATAATCAATATGTCCATCTTTTGAACAACGTAATCTATTCAATAGAAGAAAATCATAAGAGAAAAAAATATATAAATAGAAAATTTTTAATACTAACTGTACTGATTTCTTTGGATTATTCGTATCGATTGATTGAGGATCAGTTGTTGTTGATATATTTTCTTCATTTGATATTTGATCATCATCTGTACAAGTTGTTTGCGGTCGAGCAATAAGTTTAACAAAACCGAATTCATCTTCACAATATTGTACTGATATAATACCTAAAAAAATTATTAAATAGAATTAATAATCAACAAGAAAAAAACAAATTTTACCACGAAATTCCGGTGTAAAATTTTTTAATGAATCAGGCATTGATTGATAAAAATCTAATTCCGGTAATTCTAATACTTTACAAACAGTATCTTTATCATATTGAAACATTGATGAATGACCGCCAACCTTTTATTTTAAAAAAAACAAAAAATTATTCTTATTATCAAATTAAATTTCTAAAACAAATTACTTGATGAAAAAAAGGCGATAATTGTATCGATGATTGTTGAGTGTTGTATTCGCATTCATTCATTCGGACCATGGAATTTAATAGCAACAATAGAACACAATTCAGTTGTATATAAACACATAGACAGAATAATTTTATCTAAAATATATAGTTTAATATTATACTATAAAACAATCCAGTAAGTACATTGAAAAGAATATACTCATTATATTGCATATTACATTGAGATATATATATACATATAACGTGTAACCATGGATAGACAAAAGGCATGATAAACGAAATCAATGATTATATGTGATTGCTTATTACATTTCGTTTTTATACTGTCAATGAAACGCAAATATTCACATTACTTATTCGTCCGATATATACGAGAGACACACCTCTATTTTGTTCAATCTTTTTTTTATACATAATATTATGAATCATTGAAGTACATATTGTCATTTTATCAACCGAAATAATGTATTAAAAATGTATCTATGATCTATTAAACATATATTCTATCATATAAGATCACACATGTTTATATCAAAGGAAATATTATATTTGATTGATTGTATACTAAAACAGGTACATAGTACATGGACTTGTTCTGTACGATAAATCATACTCAAATGATGCCATAGAGTTCTCTCTTTATCCTCCAATTAATATAATATTTATATATATGAAAAGTTCTTTTTTTATCTGTCAAATAACAACCAATCAAATTTAACTAAAAGAATCATAGAGGTTTATACTAAGCAATGAATCGATCTTATGGCGTTTCTTTTATATTCATGATTAGAAATTTTATTCATTTAATAATAAAAAGAAAATGCCTTTATATGAAGTATTTTCTCATTCCGATCGATTTCATTATCGTGCAAATTTGTTTTCATTAGCAACATGTTTTGTAATTCTTTGTACAATATTAACATTTTTACCACCATTTCTCTTTGCTTATTTTGCTGAAGGATTTTGGATAAAAGAAGGAAGTTATAGTGAACAAGCACGTGTTGCTTATTCTGGCTATATTGTCACAATCGATTATACGAATTCAGTAGGAAGCCAAGTTAAAATTAGTTCATCTTATGCATCATTAAATACAGCTTTTCGTGATGCTTTTATTTCTGGAATAAATAGTTTAACATCCAATGATACAAATGGAAATGGTATTGATAATCAATTTTCTATTGCATTTCAATTCCCTTTTGATGATAATACTATTGTTATTAATAATACTACTGTTATTAATAATATTAATGTTTGGCTCATATTTCAATATGAATTACGAGCTAGACAATATATTAATATGCAAACAATGGCATTAATTAACCTTTATTCTGATGCGATGAGTTTAACGTCTAATCCAACGGTAACTGCAGAAGGAAATTTAATATTTCAACAGCGACAACCAATACAAAGTTCAGGCAATGATATAACATATAATCAACCAATTATTGATACAGATAGTTTACTTGCAACATCACCAATAGATTTTAGTCCTATCTTGAATACTTATTTTAAGAGAAAATATTATACATCATATCAATCAGAATCTTTAAAATGGGCATCTGGTACAACGAGTACTGATTCGTCATTAAATATTAATATAACAGTTAATGTTAATAGTCAATCTATAAGATTCATACCTGGTTTTTGGCAAGAATTTAAATGGGGTTGGATACAATATTTATCTGTACTTTTACCATTTATTATGATATTTAATCGAATAAAAGAATTTGTTTTTCAAAATCAATTGGTACGAACATTAGTAGATATGCCTCGTCATCGATATAAATCTTAAAATAAACATTTCATATTTTTATTTGTTCTCTTTCTAAATCTATGTGTGCTAGGCTCAGACAAAATTAAAAAATTTAAAAAAAATACATTTTTGTTTTTATTTGGAATAAACAGGTTTTTTTTCTATATTTTCTATACTTTCGAGGTAGAGATAGAGTAACATTTAGAATAATCAATCTTATAGCTAACAAAAGATATGGGAATGAGATAATCGATAGTATGAGAACCGAGAATAAGTAGCATTTCTATAGATAAATCACTTACTATATTGTCTAGCTCTATAATTCTATTAACATGATCGAGATAGATTCGATTTGTACTTAATTTAAATTTTGCTATGAGTGCATCTTAATCAAGTAAAATTGAACTTTCACTATAAAAATATTCTTCAAACTAAATTTTTTGCTTTGCGAAGAGTCTTGCATTACCAGTAGTATACTAATGATCATAACTTGTTTTATATCATATTTTTTGTTTATTATAAACGAAGCTTGTGTGTTCTAACTTTGATATATGTACTATTTGTTTAATAGAGCTTATCGATCTTTTATACAATGTTTGTTTATATGTATTTGAGTAATTCAATTGCAAAAAAGTAATAATGAGCGGTTTTAAATAGTAAGTCACCATATATAAACGCTTCATTGTTACCGATGTATATCTTCGAGACTAAACGATATTACCGTATGCATTATAAAGTTAAGAAGGCATGTATATTAAATAAATTAATAAATCAACTTCTACTCTCTTCTGTTATTATAAAACAATTTCGGATATTATTCATAGATCATTTAACGTTCTACATCATTAATCTTAACCATTCAGACGTCCTTGTGTTTAATAGCCATAACTGTATCGGGATTAAAAAAGAACCTTGTGTTGAAGGTAAATCATCAATATACAAAAAGTATTTTATAATTTTCATTAGTCAATTAAAATTAAACATACAGTTTTATTATCCTTTTTTTTGTTCATATGGAGACTAAGAATAATATAAAAAAGAAAGAAAAAAAACGAACAGAGAAAGGTCATTTGTGCTTAGTAGTACTCGACTATATATCTACTAAGTTTTATCCTTGGCTCTAATACATATACAAATAAATCTTAATTTGCTTCTTTTTTTTGTTGAACTTTCTATCCTCGATAATATTCAACTGGTTTAATTGATTCTTCATCAGCTAATGTTGTATCATTATCAATACTTCGACGACTACTGCTATTCCTTGAATTTCCTTCATAACTTCGTACGAAAGCTCGTGCAACATTTGATGTATTAAATGATGATACACGTTCATAATCATTCGGTATTTTTTGTCGATTTCGTTCAATATCATCATGATAATTATGATCATGTGAATGACTTCGAAATAGAGATGGACGTAAACGAGTATTTTGTTCTTGTCGAGCGATAGTATCACATACAGAACAACGTGCAGATAATGATGTTGTTTCAATAGCTCGTTGTTGTTGTTGTTGCTGCTGTTGTTGTTGTTGTTGTTGTCGATAACGATAAGAATCATGAAATGATTTTGCTAATAATTCAGCTAAGATACGTGCACGTTTACTTGTTTTACATAATATAACATGACATTCAAGTTCATTTGTACGTGGTGAACGAGCAATCCATGCAAATATACGACGATATAATGGTTCAGCAACACAATAAGATATATCTTCAATACCATCTGACCAAACATTTTTATATGTTCCATTAGCTATTTCTTCATAAATAGATAAACCAAATGGATGTATTGATATAGCACAACGATTATATCGTGAACCTTTTTTTGAACGAGTCCATACAATACGTACAGGTTCCTTTAAAATTAAATATTTATTTAGGAAAAAATCATTTTATAAATACAAGGAAAAAAAGAGTGACTTACAATAGCTACACCTATTCCATGTGCATATAATGAACGTACTTTCCCGAGATATTTAACTGGTTGAAGATTATCATCATTTCCACTCATTGTAAAAAAATTTCGAATAGAGATATATCAATATGATAAATTCTTTCTTCTCTAATCGACCTTTTATTAGTATGTATCTCATTGATAGGTTTTTTTTTCTTTGTTCACTGATCCTAAAGTAAAGCTTTCGAGTAAATTAAACAATTTGATGATGAGAAGAGAAAAAAAGAGACAGAGAAAAAGAAAGAAAGAGTAAAAACGGATACGACTATATACTAAGTAAATGAAGAAAACGGGAATAAAGATGTATAATCGTAAGTAAACTTATTTATATGTATATACATATATGTATATATGTTAGTAGATCGACGCGACGGATGAAATTTCTGTTTTTATCAATTAATTATGTGTAATTCTATTGAAATTAATCTATGGGTAGTTTCATAATTTTGCAAAAGTTACCAAAACTTTCAATGAAGTGTGTACCGATGAAATTCAGTAACATGAAAACTCAATAACAAATAATTCATCACCTCCAAGAATAGCTCACATAAAAGTTTCATACAATTTGAAGATACTCTATATGAATACGATAGAGACTTATAAAACACTGCATAATTAAAATCCAACTTGCCAACTATTAAGACATAATTGTCTTTATACTAGCGCGAATAAATCAATAGTACTTGTTATTTAGAGATTAATTAAAAGAATACAGTCTAATGGAAATTCCAACTAATTCAACTATTAATAATGATACTAATGATGAGTATTTCATTCCACTTGAACCTAATCATGCTCTAGCACTAACGATGAATTTTCCTCAATTCCCTGAAGTAAATCATTCAAAAACTTCAGAAACTCAAGCAGGTATGTTTATATTCTCGATCATCATCTGATCGATCTATTATAATGTTACAGACTTTGATTATAATTGTTCGGATTGTGTGGCTGATCTATTTGGACCTATAATGGCTCCTTATGCAGCTTTACAACAACAGACTGATGATTATCGTCGTCGTTTAGAACATATTGCTTATCGACGTTATATAGCTATGAAATCGCATTTATTAAATTCATTTGAAAAAGATTTTAAACAAAAATGGAAACGTACATTTAAAGTAGATATTTCATACTTTAAAAGATCAATATTTTCTAAATTAGTTTTTTTTAAATAAATAGCATCCATTTAAATACGATATTAAAGCTGTATGTGACACATATTTATAATTAAAATTATTATAAAACTATTTAGTTTCTAACTCAAATAGCTACGATAGGAAGATACATAGGAATGATTTCAAGTGGATGGATTTTCGTAAAAATTAAGGAAAATAAAAATTCAAGATTTTACAAATTATATTTGTTAGATTATTGGTCTCAGTCTTCTATGTTTTTCAATATACCTAATACTTGTTAATGATCAACGGCAACCTATGTTAACATTTATTCGTACATTTAGTAAATTTTATAGAACATTCTTTTTTCAAGGAGTTTGTAAAAATACGAATTATTCAATAGTAAAATTTCCTATGAATTTCTAATAGATTATTGGTTATCTAATATTCTATAGTATGCTATTGATTATTGCAGCATTATGTTCATCATTAGGAGCATTTACTTGTTCATTTTTATTGACTCTAGTTGGTATATTGAATATTCTTATAGCTTTTGCATTAGCTATTGTATTACCAATTATATTATATATGAATCGACAATCATTAATAGATAAATTAGAAAAATATATGCAAATTTCTATTAAAGATTTTGATAATATAACAGATAATCCTATAACATTATTTTGGAATGAATTACAAGAAAAAGTAAAATATAAATAAAGAAGTATCAAATTTGGCATATACTTTTTTCTTAGTATTCATGCTGTGGGTTAAATAATTCAATTACAGATTATCGGAACAGCTATTTTCATAACTTGTCTGGACGTGATGTACCACAATCATGTTGTCGAGCTAGTGAGTATAAATCTTCAAATATTATTTTATAAGATTTTCTTTTTCCATTATAGATATTCTTTGTTCAATGAGTCCAACTAAAACAAATTCATATATAGATGTATAAAATATATGTTTACTTGTTTTCAATGTCTACAATCTTCATTCCTAGATTTCATGTATTCCACAAGTCAAACATTTCATTGATTCAACAATGAAAATAACTACTATTGGAGATATTGTTCTCATTATTCTTCTTGTACGTTGTTATATATTATCTTTTGCAATATCAATCCATATTTTAGTCTATTGCTTTAATTAGTATTGGACTTTTTTTCATTCATATTAAATCTGCAAAACAAACATTAAATGAACATAATGAATTTATTATTAAGTCAATGTTATCAACACTTGAACAATATGAAAAAGAATTGGGTGGTGCTAAAAATCTTCCATCAGACGAAACAAGTTTTCCTGATAAACAACGTATTCAAGGCATTTTACCAATTACTCCAACTGTTGTTCGTGTAAAAAGTCCTCGAATTATAAATTATCTTGGTTTTAATTAATTCCTTACTTATGACTTCGCAATATTAAAGACTGAATTTTGCTAAGTGATTTGTCAAATCTGAGACCAGATTATCCTATGAGTTCATTGGTGAATCAATTCTTTTCTTACTTTGAGTCGAAACTATAGACATACATTTAGTAAACTGATAAAGAAACACGAAATTTCGTTCTTCTTGCTCTTTGTCATAATGACGTAAGTTTCTTTCTATCAAACAAGATAACAAAAGTAACACGACCGTCGAGAACATATGATGAAAAATAAAGTGATGACTAAAATTTGCCAACAAGTTTTTTTAATTTTTATTATATTTTTTTTTCAAAATGTAAATTGTCGTATATTAAATCCAGCAATTGGAATTTTAACTGAATCAAAAATTTATCTTGCAAAAATTAAAGAGTTTGATTATACACATGATGATCTTCATTTAATTTATCGTCATCATGATCCTGTTTATCCATTACAAACTTTTGCACCAAATAATATTATACATAGACTGTATATCTGTTCACCAAGTACTATTTATACACTTGATTTACAAGTTGGATCACATATTGTACCATTTTTACCTGTTGATGATACACCATGTCGAGCGAATTTAGTATATTTATCAGGTCAAACAACACTTCTTTGGACATTACGTCATACAGTAATGTTATTTGATTTTAATGAAATGTTTAAAGAACGTCTTTGGAATTCAACATCTCCGATTTTAAATATGATATATAATGATACAGATATTGATAATAATGCAATGAATTTTTATTTAAGTGTTTCAGTTGCAGATCAACAATCAGTTGTAGTACATTGTCGTACTGATCGTCGTTCTCGTATAGTTCCATTTCAATCTTGTCTTTTTATTGACAGTGGTTATCATGAAGTATCAACATTAGCTTATGATGAAAATCGTTTGTATGTAGCTGATCGTATTGCACAAAAAATCTATGTACTAGCTTTATTACCTAGTGGTTTTGTTTTATCAAAGAATGTTTTACCATTGAATACAAGTATAGTAGCTGATATTCAATCTATGTTTGTTTATGATTATAATCTTATATGGTTAACAACTAGTGGTCATGTACGAATTGTTTCATTGATAACTTATGAAGTACGAACTATTTTTTGGTTTGATGAAGAATTAAAAGCAATTCATCTTGTATCGTTTGGTCAATGGCCAAATCGAACAACAACTTCGACTACAACTACAACCACAACTATAACAACAACAACAACAACAATAACAACGACAACAACTACACAATCAACAACAACATATTCAATATCAACAGAAAAATCTACTATTATAACAACATCACCTAGTGAACATATTGATACAAGCACAATCGATAATGTTCATAGTCCTTGGAAAGCAACAACTTTTGTAACATCTATTATTTTAGGTATTGCACTATTCCTTTGCGCAGCTATGGTCACATGTGTTCTACTCAATTATCGCTTGGGACGAGTTGTTCCAAGTAGTTTTACTAATGTATTACATTTTCTACGTAATCGTACACAAACAGCATCAACAGCAGCAGCAGTAGGGCCATCATTTTTCGAAGAATCACTTACATAATCCAAGCATTGATATTATGTTTTCATAAATCTTTTTTTTGTATCTATTTTTTTATAAAAATTAAATTTTTGAATAATCACGCATATCTAATATCAAATCCTTCTGATAGATATTCATGAATGATCATCATATCTTAGATATATTGATTATGAAACAGAACTAAATAATGATAGTTACATGGAGTATAACTTAATACTCATCTTCTTTTTTTTTTCTAAATAAAGTTATTTTGGACAGGATTTGCCTTAATTCTATATATCCGGTACTTATAAACAAACGTTTATCAAATCCCGGTCTATGGAGTAGAATGACATTTGACAATCATTATTGTATTGGAAATATATATTTCAAAAAAAAAGTCGAGTTCTTTTAAAATATAAGCTTCATTTTTATGTATCAATAAAACAATTAATATTATCCATTTTTTGTCTTGAAAATATTCCGGAATTTAATAACCGGTTAATTCTTCCGTGCAACTATCTATGAATATAATCAGGTAATAGAAATATTCATGTGTATGTAAACGTAAAAAAATATTTCTTGCAGGGTTTTACCCATACTTTTTTATGATTGGTTAAAAAATGTAAACTAGTAATGCATTAGACATATACAGAGGACCACGCCCATAATCTTAATACACAATGGCGATTGTCGGCTGATGACGATCATTTATTCATTAAAAAACAAGTAAAAACCACGGCCAATAATTTTTCTATTTTAATTACTATCAGATAAAATTCTTTGTTTTTAGATTATTATTATCTCATATAAAATCATATGAGTTATTCATTAATCGATTGTATATAGCATTAAATGTGATTAAAAACCTTCAAGTTATTTTCATTATTAGATTCGAGTTATTATTATTATTATTATTATTATTATCATTATTTGTTTTTCATTTTTCTCCTCTTTTGTGCCATATTTTTTTGCTCTTTATTTTACTATTATATCAATTGAAAGAAGAAAAAGCCTATATCTACAAAGTAAGTTTTTGTTATCAACAAACTAATGTTTGTATATTGAAAATATCTGTGCTCTTTTCACCTTATACCTTGTTTTTTTTTACCCTTTGTATACAACTATATAACCAATGAGAAAAAAAAGTTTTTTTTTCCTGAATATATTATATCCTTGCACGCATCAATAGATTTTTACTCCAGGTGTACCACGTGATTTATATAGCTGAAATATTTCTTTTTTATTGTTTATTCACAGAATGTCTATGCGATAGAAAAGTATTTTGTAACGAATGGATGATATTCATTTAATATCAACATCACCACCATCATCAGCAGCAAATCTCAAACCAAATTGTTCACCTCTAACTGATACATTAACAAATAATCGACAACGAGCAGATTCTGCATCTATTATTCAGCAATCTGATGTATCATCGTCGAGACCAGCTCTATTAGCACATGATGCACTTGGACCACTTCTTTTTGAGGTATGTCAAAACAAATTCCATCTTTTTTTTCTTCTTTTCTTTTCTTTAATCTTTTAATTTTGACAGAAAAGGTAGAAGAACGAGTAATAGTAATGATAGTCATAGGAAAAATGTAGTTTATGTTAGTTCTTTTGTATGTCAAGGAAAAACTGTGGAGGAGTATATGAATGAATGAACGAATACTACTAGTTTTTCTTTGTTTTCTTTCTTTTTTTTGTTTCTGTATGTGTGTGTTGAGAGAATAGCGATGACAACG